GCGGAACTTAATTGTTCCTTGACTAGATCGGTGAAACACCTGCATTCATTCGGCAATTGCTTTGTTCACCACTTTTTAAATGTTACTTAGTCCTTGAAAACTCACCCACGTTTGAGAGCAACTTGAAGACACAGCTCAAAAAAGTTCTTTGTTTTCCCAAAAACTTTATTTGCGTTAGAGTTAAACATATAGAAATTGTTTAGCTCCTACACTCCTATTTTATGAAACAAATGCCGCGCGCGTCTGCGACCAATAACATTTTGGACGTCCATATTTGACTATTCCGCGGATGGGCGTGCTCAATCTTGTACGAGGTTTTTTTAGATTTTATGTTTTCATCAAGAAAATAGGTGACCCGAGAATCACTTCTTTTTTAAAAGACAGTCAGCAATTACCGGCAAACTTTATAAATCTTTCAAATTGCCTTGCATTATTTTTAGGGCTAAAATGCCAAACAATGCACAGTCATGCTCTAATGGACAAGTAGAAAAAGTAGTGGAATTGTTTGGCTCCAAACCCCAGAGTTTGTACAAAAGTGACTACTTTATGTTAAGGACTCGGACGAAATGCTTCAACACTGCCACCAGAGGGAATGCATTGGTGGCTTCTAGCCGTTTGTGGATGAACATATTGGGCAGAGGGTGAATGGCAACTCCCAGCTTGAACAACATCATGCCCACATAGACGTCTTCATTGGGCAGTGGACGTGTAAAGGCGGAGGCGATGGAGAGTTTGCGAATGAGATCAGCCCCAATCACGTAGCAAGGCCCGTTCGCATAAGTTGGAAACAGGGGGAAGGGGTAGGCTGCGATGGGCGTGAACCATCTATGCTCAGCCCTTCGCATCACCCGACTCCTCGGGTAGATGGCACCGAAGATGCCTCTACGCAACTCCGAAACTGAGTACTTTGAGAGCACACGATGTAGCTGTGTCACATTGATCCCATGGTCATCATCCAGGAAGACGAACAATGGGCTGCTGTGTAGACAGTTGTACTGCACAAATCGTAGGTTGACGATGGTCTTTAGAGTCAGATTCTGGTAGGTGTCTGTGTAGGTAGCGATCAGAATATCATCAAATTGGGTAATCTCCTTGAGTATATCAGGTGGTATTTGGCCATTTT